TATTTGGTTATTTCACGAAAGTAATTTTGAAGTTCTAAGGCCATCATGCCAACTGTTGAAGATTCGGTATGAAATAAAATCGAATTGGACCAAACAAGTTCCATATCTCGTTTCCATTCGTCAATACTTTTGTATTTATTTCCTCGTAAATTTTTTTTGATTGTACCTAAATCCATTGGTGTTTTGATTATATCAAAATAATTTGGGCAATTATCTTGAACAGGATCAACCGGGTAAAGAAATATCTTGGAGATTGGACGCGCACATATTTTTTCCATGATATCATAACATTGTTTTCTTAAAAAAGGTTTTAGATGCATTTATTATTTCTAAATTTTCAATTGATTTTAATCGTAAAATTTTTTATAAAAAAAAATGCTTTTTTATTTATAAATGGTATTAATGAATATTATAACGGAATATACTTACAGTATAGTCTTCTTCGGGGACATCTGCAACAAAAGAAAAACCCAAATTTGAATAAAACTTTTTAAGTTTTTCATTTCCACTCCAACAATCAAGAGCAATATTTTTATTAAACCTATTTCGGGCTTCATTGATTGCACATTTAACTATTTCAGCACCAATACCATTCCTTTGAAATTCAGGCAAAACAGCGACTTTTGTTAAGTACAAAATATCTTCATTCTGCAATGCTTTGTTAAAATATTCGGTGAAGCTGTTATTATTAGTTAAGCAACAAATTCCTATAATCTTTCCGTTTTTACCTTTCTTCATTACATAACAAGACTTTTCCAAAACATAATGACGGATTTCATAAATTGGTATTTCATCTGTCCATTGAAGAATATTTCTTTCATGCAAATCGTTTTGAACTTTTATAAGTAAATTTAAAATCTCAAGAATTTCATCCTCAACAGCTAATTCAAAATATAAATTCAAACCATTTTTCATATCACATATCACTTCATTTTTGACTTCACTTTTTTTTGAATTCAAAGAATTTGAAATAGATGTAATTTCACACATTTGGTAAATATCTGTTCGTCTTGATGATAAAAGAGGAAGCTGCTTTCGAACTTCATTTATTTGATTCAAATTAATATCAACTATTGCGATGGATTCTTTTTCATCTGCTCGATAAATTACTTCACCCCAAGGTGACACAACAATAGAATTACCATAAGAAACATACAAGCCGTTCACATCTCTTGCTGGAGCTACTCCAATTGTGAAACACTGATTATCAACAGCTCGTTGACGAAACATTAATTCCCAGTGAAGTGGTCCAGTTGTCATGTTGAAAGCAGCAGGAACAACTAAAATTGTTGCACCACGTTCAACCATGAGACGTGAAAGTTCAGGGAATCTGAAATCAAAACAAATGCAAAGACCAAGGATAATGATTTTTTGATTAGAACTTTGATCATTTTTATCGTTCTTGGTAAGATCAATTTCAAATGTAGTTACCTTATCTCCTGCTGTAAGAGAATCAGATTCTTTGAATCTTTGACCACCTTCAATATCAATATCAAATAAATGCATTTTTCTATGATATGCTATTTCCTTCCCAGTTCTGTCAAATACAAATGATGTATTATATATTTTATTATTATCAAATTCTGGGATTGAACCACCAATCAAAAAAACAGAATTATCAGATGCCATTTTAGATAATGCTTGCCAGGTTGGACCTCCACGTGGCTCTGAATATTCACGAAAATGAGATGATGCATATGGGCTATTGAAAATCTCAGGTAAAATAACAATTTCAGCACCTTTTTTGGCACATTCAGCAACTTTCTCTGTTGCTGTCTGAACATTCTGGCTTTTATCAGAACATGTTTTCATTTGAACAATTCCTATCTTAACTAAATCTATTTCAGAAGTTGGATTCATCATAAAATAATTTCTATAAAAATAAAGTATTCAATTTTTTAAATATCATCAGAAATTTGAAACAAGATATTGAACATCAAAAAAACACACATCTTTTTATTTATATAAATTTTTTATATATTTCAACAGTAATATGAATAAGAGCATTAATTTTAATAATAATAATAATAATACAAATAATTATGTTTGTCTGATTAATAAAGTTCCTCGACAGAATGACCTTTAAAGTACAAAGAAGCCTTAAATGCTATTTGGAAAGTGAAAATTCCATTAACAAATTCACTAACAATACCATTAGTTCTGTAAATATCGAATTCTTTATCAACAATCCTGAAAGCAATTGCCAAATAAGGTGGCCCAGCTTCAAATACAATACATGTATATTTATAGCTTGTATCAGGTACTGGTTCATTAGTGTTTTTCAGTAAGCTTGCGTCAATACGGTATTTAGGGGAAATATTGGTATTCTTTAATCTTGGATAAAAAATTTTCCAATAATATCCACGAATTGTTTTTGGTGGTCTGTGATTGAGATTGTATCTAATTCTATTATACTCGTTCCAATCGTATCCTTTATAAACAACTCCTTCATAGTCGGGAAGCATCATATTTTCCGTAGTGCGATAATGCAATGGAACAAGATCATGAAAATCTTCTTCGTCATCTCCCCAATATTGAAGTCCTTCAATTTGATTATTTGGAATTAATCTTTTTCTGGCATTTTCAAATTGAATTTTGCCACGCATATCGAAAAAGTCTTTACATGCTTTATTAAATTTATGAATTCCATCTTCTTGCTGTAAAACCTTTGTTCGGTATTTTCTTTGATTTTTCGTATAAAAGTTTGCTAAGATATCAGTAGTGTTATTTTCACCCAATTTACTAGTATCATCTTTGACTTGAACAAGATTTCTTGCAGGCAATTCTTTTGTAATTTTTTTTAATAGGGCATTGTGATATCTATCATGCCAAGATGTTGCTAGAATAAAACGAAGACGTCTAATAAGTTGTTTATAAAATTCTTGATATTCTTCCAGATCATTTTTCAGAAGCTGAGTTTCGATTCGTGTTATATATTGTTCAAGCTCATCAACAGATACTTCATCTACAAATTTAACAATATCTGAATTAAATGGCGTAATCATATCGACATCAGGTTCTTGAGCAATTTTATCATCAAGTATAATAATTAAGTATTCCCAATATTTGTCAGTAGATTCAAAATATTGACATATGTCTTTAACAGCTGAAATATCTTGATCAGTAATTGTCTTAGGATTTTTTATTCCAGTGTACTTTGAAAATGCTTCAGGATCTAATAAAACATATGATGCACATATACTTGGAAGATAGTTTGGGCAAAGAGCTCCAGTATTAATATAAAATAAATCAAATAAAGATGGACGATTTTCTTTTAATCTTTGAAGTGTACCTTTTATAATTCTCTGTCTTTCGAATTCTTCCTGACCTTGATTTGAATCATCGAGACCTAATTCTGATGTATTGCTTAAGTTGATATTGATATTAATCCTTTGCTGATTTAATCCAAAGCTCATATTAAAAATTTAATTGTTCTCAAAATTAGCTTTATATGAACGTTAATAACCGTCCGAATTTAACCTTTATGAAGGCAAATTCCATTAATTTATAATGAATATCAATATTTCATCTCAAGGACTTGAATTAATTAATCAAGAATTTTTACCAGACAACTTTACTTTCATAATCGGAAATAGATCGTATCACTGCAACAAAATTCAAGCAGATTTTCTTTCACCAATAGTATCTAAAATACACAAAGTTGATCCGTTAATTGATTCGTTTAAAATTGAAACTAAAGATCCAGATGGGGATTTTCAGACATTTATCGACTTTTTGAAAAAAGGAGAGATGAAAATTATACCACAAAAATTCTCATTCTATATTCAAGTATCAGGATTATTAGGAAATTCAGAAATTATTAATAGTTTAATGAATCTTATAACTTATGAATTCAATAAAGAAGAATTTCAATTAACAAATATAATAGAAAAACTAATTCTTTTTGATCAACTTAATATTCCAGAAAAGAATTCATTTTTTGATTATGTTGCATCACATTTTTCTGACATTTGCCAACATATATATAACAAAAAACTTTCATACGAGACACTAGCGTCAATTATTTCAAGTTCATCATTACAACTCGAGAATGAATCGCAGCTCGTTACATTTATATTAAATATAGTCAATCAAGAGAAAGATGAAAAATATCTTTCATTAATAGAATATGTTGATTTTGAATACATAAACTATAATGATTTATTATCACTGCAATTAATCCTTGAAAAATACCAAATCTCATTAAAAGTAATCGTTGACAAACTTTTTCAAAAGATTATTTCAAAACCTACCACTTTTTCAAATATATTGAATTTTGAATACAGCCCCGATAGAAAAAATAAATTGAATGGAATTATAAATTATTTGAATCATGAGTCCAACGGAATTTGTTCCAAAAACGGAACAATCAACGTAACTTGCTCAAGCACACAAGTATCTTCATACAGCTTTTCAGCACAAGATTGCCGCCATTTATGCAATTATAATGATTTGAGTGATAGATCTATGTGGTCACCCAACAATGAAGAAAATTGTTTCATTCAATTCGACTTTATTAAAAATAAGGTCAATTTGTCAAGTTACACTTTTCAAACTCCAGTGAAGCCAACAAAAGATTATCCGAAATCTTGGAAGATTGAATGCTCAAATGATTCAATTAACTGGAAGGTTGTTGATCAAAAAATAGACCAAGTTTGTATGAATAATGAAAATGCTTGTGTTAACTTTAGGTGCAATGTGAATAATAACGAGTTCTTTAGATATATAAGAATCGTTTCTTTATCACCTTGTTGGAATGGAGACTCAAGGTATTATTTCGACCTTTCTGCTGTTGAATTCTTTGGTTTTCTTAGAATTGAAAAAGAAAGCAAGCTTAGTGAGTAAGCATCTATCTGATTTTACTAGAAATATTTAGTTGTTAAATAAGCATTTATTTTATATTTATGAATAAAATTAGTAGATATTATTAATTATATTTTGTGATCATCAGATTCGATTTTTATTTATAAAATCTAGATTATATATATTTAAAATAGAAAGGGACAATAGTCTAACGGTTAGGATGCAAGACTGTCACTCTTGAGGTTTGGGTTCAATTCCCAGTTGCCCCGTTTTTTAACATTTTTTCTAAGTTAAAAAAGAACTATGGAAATTTCTTTCTCCTTAAGTAAATTAGAAATATTCATGCTGATTTGAGGAAATGATGTAATACATTTTCAATCAGAGAATAACAATTATCCCTTAATAAATTAATATAAAATATTTTTATATTTCACAAATATCCAAAATAAATAATCTTTTTTTTTTCTTTTTATAACTTTACTGTACATAAAAACATATTTCGAAAAGAGAGAAGTTTTGAGAGGGATTTGAAATTTTCAAATTCAAAATTTAAATTTTAGAATGAAAAAGTTGATTTATTTGTGTGCGAAATTTATAATATAACCGTTTGAATGTAAAAAATAAATTTCGATTATTATATAACTATTGATTCTCTGATTGCTTAATCTTATTTTTAGGAGAAAAACATCAACTCTTAAAAAAAGTTCACCGATTATTTTTAATATGAATAACCGTAATTTTACATCTAATATTTAAAAAGTGATGAAAAATTAAATCAAAAAGTTTATACGTTAGTTCAAATTATATGGATCTTCGTGTCGGTAGTAAATACCGACTTAAAAAACGAATTGGTGCAGGAAGCTTTGGCGAGATATACTGTGGAGAAAATACCGTAACAAAAGAGGAAGTCGCAATTAAACTTGAGACTTTTCGGACAAGACCACCACAACTTCAAGGAGAGGCTCGCGTGTATAAAGTTCTCTCTGGCGGATCCGGAATTCCAGAGATAAAATGGTATGGGACAGAAGGCGACTACAATTGCTTGGTAATCGAATTATTAGGGAAATCAATTGAAGAACTCTTTAATTCGTGCCACAGGAAATTTACTCTTAAAACAGTTTTAATGATAGCCGACCAAATGTTAACTAGAATCGAGTATATGCACAGTAAAGGCTTTATTCATCGTGATATTAAGCCTGACAATTTTACGGTTGGACTTGGAAGAAAAAGCAATCAAATTTATATTATCGATTATGGATTAGCCAAAAAATATCGTGATTCTAGAACAAGACAGCATATACCTTTCCGCGAAGGGAAACAACTTACTGGAACTGCAAGATATGCATCAATTAATACTCATATCGGAATTGAACAAAGTCGCCGAGATGATCTTGAATCAATTGCTTATGTATTGATTTATTTACTCCAAAGCTCATTACCATGGCAAGGTATAAAAGCAGAAAATCGTAAAGAACGATACGAGAAAATAATGGAGAAAAAAATGACAACACAAGTCGATGTACTCTGCGAAGGAATTCCACTTGAGTTTGCTACATTTTTATCCGAAGTGAAAAGACTAGATTTTCAAGAAGAACCTAATTATTCATTTTATCGTCAAATGTTTCGAGATTTGTTTATTCGATGCGGATTTATTTATGACTATCAATACGATTGGGTTGAAAAGTCTCCTATACAAATGTCATTACCATATCAAGTTCGTAACAATTATCTCAATAAATTACCAGATTCTCAAACGGGACATAATAATAATAATAATAATCAAAACTATCAACATAATTTGAATACAACTACCACTCCGTTTAATAATGCAACCCCCACTAATTTCAATCATTATCCAAATATGAATATTAATAATTCTAATTTAATTAAAAATCAAAGACAACAATCGACTCCACCAGCTGTGCAACTAAGGACCCCACAAGTTGCTTCTCAAAAACCATCTGTTAGGCCTTCTCCGCAACCAAGCATATCACATATTCTACGAATAAAGGTTACCTCACAGCCTAAAAATATTAATTCAAGAATTAATTCTGATAAGCCTCTATCCAAACCAAAAAAGAAATGTCCACGAATTCATAATCCCTCAAAGCAATTAACTTTTGGGCAAGCTTAGCGCTTGTTAATTTTATTTATTTCTTTTTCTAACTTATCATATTTGTTTGTAAATTATATATTTATTGTTTTTAATAAAAATAATCTTTTCTAAAAATAATCTTTTTAGATCAAAAATTTTTATATCATTTATTATCCTTGCATGAAAGGATTTCATTGCAAACTAACAATTTACGTTCAAGAGTCTTAAAGTTTATGTTTAATGCCATAAGATTCTCAATATTTCTGAATATCATGAATTTAACTACCAAGCTTAAGCTTTAAACATTTTTGATATTCTCAATTTACTTTTTGAATCACATTGGATAAAAATTTGCTTATATTAATAATTTGATAATAAAATAAATCTGTTAATTTAAAAAACATGATAATAATCGAGATGATGGCTGGTGTCAATAAATAAAAAATAAAAATTAATAACTTTGTTATTATAAAAATTTTATTATTAATAATCAAAAACATTGCTAGAGCAATGATGTGTGAGATTGGCCATTTATGCTTCCATCTCTCTTTTTCTTAATGTAACAAAAGTAAAAAATAACAATTCCAGCCGAAATAACAATTAAAACCGATAAAACCACCAAAACGATCAAAGTTACATTTTTCTTATTATTTTTCTGTTTTTGAGTAATCTGAAACTTCACAACTGCGCTTCTAAATACGTCTCCTTTATTCATCCCTTCCATTTTAACTGTTACAATATTTTTATTTATATAGCAATCTGTATTTTTCGCAGCGAAAATGCATTCCAAATTATTTGCTTCTTTAATTTCAGCGTTTATAGTTCTTTTTAGATCATTTTTCTGATAGTTTCCTCTATAACCAGTGAATATGACCAAATAGCAATTCAATTTATTACAAAACAAACTTTTTGAAAAAATGTCGTTTTCTGTTTTGTTGTCAATTTCAGGAATTTGATTATTTTGAGGAATATCAAACTCAACCATTCCTCTCTGATTAGCATAATAAATAGTGCCATTCAGCACCGTGTTGAAAATTGGGATCCATCTTTTGAAGAACGGTTTGAGACTTTCCAATTCATCTTTATTTTCCTTTGCCCAAAAATTGCTGCTTGCCGCGTTGTAAGAAAAGTAGGACGGCCAAGCTCCGAATGAAAGCATTATAGAAAAGTAGCTTTCTTTGTATTTAAGAGAGATTTCTCTGTCAGTGTTTTCAATGTAGCTTAACGGCCTCGAACCGACAACGTATCTTTGTCTGAAAAAGTTTCTCTGATAATATTTTGTGTATTCTAAAGCATCATTAACCGTGTCGACCAGCTTAATTTCATATCCAGATGATCCATGAAACTGCGTAAGCTGGGGTGGCTCGTATACACTGTTGGTCATGAATCCGCCGATAGAAAGCACGTCATACATTTTGTATATATTGAAAAAGTTCGCCAAATTGGGAACAAAACGTTTGTCACCGTCGACCAAATAGTACGGAAGATCATAATCGCAACTTCGATCTTTTGTCAAGTAATCCACATAAAAAGCTGCATTGAATGAATCAAGACCGATTCCATGAATAGTCACGTTATTTCTTAAATATGCGTTAATAGTGCTATTCAATTGTTTCAGCTTTGTTTGAAGCGTCTTGCCTTTCAGCATGTTGAACGATATCATTCCAACATTCCAGCTTGCGTTCTCCGCCCGAATGTTTGGAACAGAGTCCGAATTGAATGCAACGTCTTCATACGCTTCTTGGCAAGCACGCGTGCTTGGATGCGACTCGTTCAATGCGCACTTTTTAATGTCTTCCCAGTAACTTTCCTCGTTGAATTCAATCGGAATGTGGCCGACACCTGGCTCTGTGTAGATGTAAGATGACAAGTACGGCTTGACTTGATAAACGTCCGCTCCCCAGATGAAGTTTGCGCCATAGACATCTCTGTCTTCCGTTGTGTTCGGAAAGAGCGATTTTAGCTGAGCAAAGGGGGCCCAAAGACCGACACCGCCAGGCTGCTTCTCGTAAATTTCAGGGAAGTTTAAATGCCACTTTTCAAGAGCATCTAACCAGCTGTTTGATTCTTGCTTCAACAAGATGAACGACATTTTGAATCCATTTTTGTCTCTTACTTCTAATTCCATATTGAATGAATGAAACTTTTTTATGATGCTTGTGTTGTCGACGATCGACTTTTCATAGATAGACTTCGACTCGATGCTCCACAAATGAATCACGTCTTTGTTGAAAACGTCGACTCCAATCGTGTGCGTCTTGTTTGCAATTATAGGATATCCGTGGAGTTTTTTCGACGAGCCAACGTAACTTTGAGAGGCATCTTCGACCTCTTTTGGACACGGGAAGGCATCGAAAACCTCCAAAGTGTGAAGATTCATTCGTGGTTCAGTTGTGTTGTATTTGATCGTCGCTGTAATTCGATCAGAATTCGAATTGATTTTCGTTTTTTCGATTTCAAGCGGATAACTCTCTTCAACGTAGTTGAAGAATTCTATGGTTGGCACGTTGAAATGGGCTTCTTTTTCTTTATCCTCATTTACAAGGTATGCTGTGACTGAAAGTGAAATGTTAGGTGCAAGCTCATTCAATTGATAAATGGTCGTTTTTCCTAGTTTCGAATTGGCTCCATATTTGTAGATGAGAGTCGGATATTCAGACGTTTTCCAACGCGTTATGTCAACATAGCAAAAGGCAACAGTATTTCCTGTGTCTTCACCGTTGCAACTGACTTTGACATAATTATAATACTTATCACTCGTTTGTTTGATGGTTTTGGTCACATATGGACATGTTTTAGTTGATTGGGAGGTTGGTACTATCACTGTTTTATTGCTTTTATTAGTAAATGATAATCCATCAAAGCGATTCCATGATGAAGGAAAGTTGGGTACAGGAAAATTAAATGAATCTGTTTTTAAATTTATTGGCGAATAAGAAAAGAGATATTCTCCTAGGCTTATTGATAAATTAAAAAATATAAAAATAAACATTTTATTCTAAAGGGCACCTTTTTGGCCGTTTAAAAAAAAAAATCTAAAATTACATGTTACAAAATATTTTATTTAAAAGAAAACTATATCCAAACCCCAGATAAAGGAAGGCTACATATAGATGCCTTTTAAGTATATTTCAAATATTTAGAATGATCATACAACTAAATAAGATCGGAGAT